TTTTTTTTTGAGATGGGGTCTCACTCTGTCAGTCACCTAGGCTGGAGGGCAGTGGTGCAATCTCGGCTCACTGCAGCCTCTGCCTTGGGGTTCAAATGATTCTCCTGCCTCAGCCTCCTGAGTAGCTGGGATTACAGGCACCTGCCACCACGCCCAGGTAATTTTTGTATTTTTAGTAGATATGGGGATTTGCAATGTTGGCCAGGCTAGTCTCAAGCTCCTGACCTCAAGTGATCTACCCGCCTCAGCCTCCCAAAGTGCTGGGACTACAGCCATGAGCCACTGCTCCCAGCCAGGATCCAGTTTCTTGACTTAATCATTTACACTGTTTTTTCCATTTCAAACTCTGTTTTCTTCACTCATTCCATTGGCGTGTTTCAGTGTTGAGAGCTGTGCCCTGTAGTGGACAAAGCATAGAATACTAGAGGCATAGGGTAGTGAAAGGAGAGGAGGGAATTACAGGGATCAGCCTCACTTCAGGATAATAGAATTGAAGAGATTTGGAAGGCTGAGTGGATAGAGTGTGTGAAGGAGAGGCCCCAATCAAATGGGAGTCTCAGGATGCTGTTAGAGACAAGCGGGTGGACTGCAGTGTAGGGACTTTTGCGGGATGCAACTTTTGGACTTTGGGAGGATTCTGCTCCTGCAAATTGTCAGCTGACTGTCTTTCTGCCACTTCTCGGGAATTTCTCCTAACGTATTTTGACAAGAGTACTTTTCCTAGTCTGGCTTTGCCTTGGGTATTTTTAGGCAGTGACTCAGCGGGGAAGGATTTTCCAGAATCCTCATGTTAAATAAATGGTTCTCATCCCAGATTTCCTGAGGGCAGCCACAGAGCATAGAGTGAGCTCTGTGCCAGCCTGTGTTTTCCTATTCAGGTAAAGTTCACAGGCTGCAAAGGGGGAGCCTTTTCAGAAGACAGCTCCAACAAGTGGCTGTCAAAACCAAAGCCAAATGCACACAAAGCGCCAAGACAGAGCTTTACAATCTAGGCCCAGTGTTCTTGTTTCTGCTGCCTCAGATGCTTCCCTTCTCCTCCTCTTGTCCACCCCTCCCTTCCCTCCTAGGACCAGGAGGCATGTCCTCCGCCCTATTCTATATTTCTCATCACTGAAATCAAGGAGATTCCCAGGTTGCTCTGCACCTCCTATCACATCCTTTTCATGACGCTACCAGGGCTGCCGCCTAAGAATGACAGGTTTTATAAATATGAAATAAACATTTCTTCAGCTTCAGGAATATGGTAGTGAATCTTATTTTCTCTTGTAGCATTGCAGAATCAATGCAATTGCCTTGTAAGCCAGGGTCAGCAAACTGTTCTTAATGGGCCACATATTAAATATTTAGGCTTTGCATGCCAGATGGTCTCTACTGCAACCACGATACTCTGCTTAGCACATAAATGAACAAACGTGGTGGTGTTCTTCCGTAATTTTACTTACAGATGCTGACATCTGAATGTCTTATAATTTTTACATCAGGAAACACTCTTCTTCTTGTGATTTTCCCGTCAGCTATTAAAAAATGTAAAGATCATTATTCGTTGACAGGCTGTACAAGTAGAGGCAGTGGGACAGATCTGGCTCCTGGCCTGTACTTGTGAAGTCCTCCTATAGATGGAGAAGCTGAACTGAAGAGCAGTGCTTCTTTCAGTCAATCAGGCCCATGGTGAGGCCTCCTCTCCTCATGTTCCAGGCTGACACACATGCTGCCTGCCTCATGCCCTAACCCCTTACCACTTTTCAGAGCTCATTTCAGGTGCTCTTTCATCTGAGAAGTCACTTATGTGTTCCCATCTCTGCCTTGGGTGTTCTTTTTCCATGCTTCCATAGGATACTGAATCCTGGGCTTCCCATAACATAGCATTAGCCACACAGTATTGTAATGCTCGAGTCCCCATAGCTCTGTGGCTCAATGGGGTCAGGGCTCCTGCGTGTCCCTTGGATTGGTTACTGAAATCCCAGTGTGTGACAAGTATCTTGCACCTGGCAGGTTTTCTCAATGCTTATTGATTGATTGCATTAATGAATCTCAGCACTATTTTAGGCACTCTGGAAGATTAAAGAGATGAATGGACCAAGGATATAAAAGAGTTAACACATACAAAATTATAGACTAATTAGACAATGCTAACTGTGAGGCGCTAAATAAGTTGAAGAAAGAAGAATGCAATAAAGACTAAAATCATTAAGGAAGGTTTAGTAAAAATGTAGACCTTGAACTTACCTTTGAGGTAGTTGGGTGGAAGGGACAGAGGAAAATGTATTTGGGATTGTTGTTCCAGAAGGGTGAATTAGCAAAAATGTTTTGCTCTGATTCTTCTTTATCAGACTCTACTCCTCTGCAGAATTCCCCTTTGTAATTTATGGTTCTAGTCACTGAATCACCAGGATGGAAGTGAGGAACATCCTAATGTTTTTTTTTTCAAAGAGTTTCAAAGAGTGTTGCTTATTTTCTTTCAGAGACACAGATGTGCACACTGTGGCTTCCCTGTTAAAGCTCTACCTCCGAGACCTCCCAGAGCCCGTGGTTCCCTGGAGCCAGTATGAAGGGTTCCTGCTCTGTGGGCAGCTCACGAATGCAGATGAGGCAAAGGTTTGCATCTTCTTAGAGTTAGTTGTCCTGCTTTAGAAGCAAGTGATTGGTTTTCTGGACAAGATTCCACTAGGCAACAGTGGGTCAAGGGGCCCATACTTTTTGGTAAGATAGTCAAAATGAAACTTCCTCAGCAACAAAAGGCATATGAACTCAATCATAGTGACTGGCAAACCACAGCCTTCATGAGATGTAATAATCCAATAAAGAATCGGCCCATAATCAAATACTACTGGGTCATATTAAAAGTAGTAAGAAAAGGAGGATACATCAAAGGAGGGTTTCAAGCACTATGACCCTGCTGAGACTTGCTGGGACACAAGGACAGGCTGGAAGGCAAGTGTGAGGTCACATAGTTCAAGCTCTACAGCAGCTGTGAGTGTCAGGCGTGGTCGATCAAAGAATGCATGTGCTAGGGAGAAGCAGGACAGGGAAGTTTTTTTGATTGTCATTCTTTTCGGCCACAGCTGCCTGTAGGTTCTGTAATCACCATCTGCAACATCATGCTTGTGAGAGTGTACAAGTTGACCAGCAGGATTTCTGATCCTGAATAAATTATTTCTAGAAAAGCCTTATAGTCAACAATGACCACACTATAGTCATGTTACTATAATGAGCCAGCCAACCAACCAACGAAGGAAACTGATGAAACCCAACGAACAACAGCAATTCTTGATGATTTTTAAACAAGATTTTCAAATTCAAGTGATCCAAGAAGAAGTTTATGTCACACTGTTGATATGAGGGTTTAACCTCTTTAAGTAGGTTGGTTTATATCAATGACTATGTTAAAAGCCCTCTCTGGCAAAGTGGTGCACAGAAAAATCTATAATGAAGACCTAGATTTAACTTTGATTTTGCCATTAGACAAATTATGCATCTTTTATAAGACTCAGTTTATTTACTTAGACCAATAGAACTTTCTATGGTAATGGAACTTATATATATCTGCACCATTCAATATAGTAACCACAAGCCACACATGGCTTTTGGGCATCTAAAATGTGGCTAGTACACCTGAGAAGAAGCCAAATTCCTAATTTTATTTAATTTTGATTTAGTTAAATTTAAGTAGCTACCTGTGGCAAATAACTCCTCTATTGGACATCACAAACTTAAATAATTTTCATAATATCAGCTATGCCTAGATTGCTTTGAGTCCCAGGGATATGATAATGGTGGGTGGCTTAAAAATGTTTTTAATATAAGGGGAGGTTTATTATCTTCCATGCTTCAGAATTTATTAGATAGTCTGCTCCACAGAATATATTCACTTAAAATGAATGAAGAAATAGCACCCTAGCCTTGTAAGAAAACACGGCTGTAAGAACTTCCATCCCTGACAGATGGTGCGGGGAGCATCATGATTTGAATAGGTCCTGACATAAAAGAAAAGCTGACTTTATATTTCAAAATTAAGAAAGGAAGAGAACAATCATGATACGGCTAACCTGATACAGGTTTTGTGGCTCTTCTCCAAACAAAAATTAGGTTGCATAATCTGAGGTGTGATATTTTGTGCATAACTTATGAATTTTATTGGGGGAGGGAGAAGGGGATATGAAAAATCTTAACTTATACTGGTATATCTGCTCACCATTGTGAAAGTAATAACATTGTGTGGAATAAGGTTTAAAAGGCAGCTAAAAAGGTAAATGTTTCAGATGGTGTCTCATCCCTGGGTTCTGGGGAAAGTAAAGGAGGCACCTAGATACTGTTCTGACAATAAGATTCCCACCCCCGCACTCACTTGACACCTGCTTCTCCCAGCTTTTCTCAATCTCAGCGTCTTTGAGAATTTCCACCTCTGTGGCAATGCATGTCTACACACAGGGACCAAGGTCCTTCTCACTGGCGAAAACATGGCAGAGGTGGCAGCTGGGAGGGGTGAATGTGTAGCAACCTTTGCAAAGAATTTACTTGACTCAGCTGAAGGAGGGATCTCAGCATGAAGCTGATGCTGCGCTAAGAAGGTCTACATCTACAGGAGGTGCCACCTGTGGGCCGACAAGGCTGGAGGGTGTGTTTTCTACAGGAGAGCTGCTCAGGTTTGAGGAGTGCCTGCATGCCACATGGGAATTGTGTACCCTCTTTTTGTTTTATTTTGTTTTTGAGTCGGAGTTTTGCTTTTTCGTCCAGGCTGGCGTGCAGTGGCTTGATCTCAGTTCACTGCAACCTCCGCCTTCTGGTTTCAAGCTATTCTCCTGCCTCAGCCTCCCGAGTAGCTGGGATTATAGGTGCCCACCACCACACTCAGCTAGTGAATCGTGTACTCTCACAAGCACCATGTTGCATATGGTGATTACAGACACTGTAGGCAACTGTGGTTGAAAATACAGAAAAGCTCCCTTCCCTCGTCTCTCTGGCACATGCATTCCTTGTAGACATTGCCTGACATCCACAGCCATCCACTGCAGAGCGTGAACAGTCACCTTGCACCACCCTCCAGCATCTTCTGCCTGTCTGTCTCCCAGCAGGTCTCAGCTAGGCCATAGTGCTTGAAATCCTTCTCAGAAGTATCCTCCTTTTCTCACCAGTCTTAAAGTAATTCTGAGATATCTTATTATGGTCTTTTTCTTTATTGAGTTGTTACCTCTCAAGCATTCATTAAGCAAACAATTATCGTATGAGTTGTTAAACAGTCCTTCCTTAGAGTAGCTCAGGGTCAAGGGTAGAGTGCAGTGGCATAATCACAGATAAATAAAAAGCACACATGACAAAATCTATGAACCTTTTTTTTGAAATTTTATGAGAATTTAGAGCTATTTTCATTTTTTTTAATCCATAAAACTACAGGGACAGGAATGACTGCCAAAGTGTCGTTTCTGCACAGATATAGCAATTCTGTTCCAGGGTCTTCTTGCTGGCACGTGGGCAGGGTCATTTACTGGTAAATGATTTGCTTGTGTAAATCTCTTCCCAGGCTCAGCAGGAGTTGATGAAGCAGCTCTCCATCCTTCCTCGTGACAACTATAGTCTCCTGAGCTATATCTGCAGGTGAGAGGCCCATGGTATCAACTCTACGGTTTTCAACCCCATCAGAAAGAAGCTCCTAGTTAGAAAAGGAGGGACTACCTCTGTGAACACAGAGATTCTGGTCCAGCACTTTGGAATATCAGCTCCATTCACATAACACTAAAGTAGCTTCCTGTATTATTTCAAGGATTCTGAAAACCTGGTTGACCCAAAAAATGAACATGCTCCCCGCTTTAGGCCTGCCTCAGCACTTCCCAGGGTCCTGGGACATGCAAGAGAACCCAGAATCCTTATAATGTTTCCAGAATGATCTCCCATCTTCGTGACTGTGAGCCATAGCTTAGTGCCGGGGAGACATTCATTCTGGGTCACACTGGTTATTGTCCTTCAGCCCTTTCTGGAGACCGGCCGTGCATCATCCCTGTGGCAACTCTAGCTGTGGATTGATCCAGATCTGGCTGGGCTGGGAAGTAGGATCTTCATTCCAGACAGACCTGAATTATGTCTTTTATTTTTTTTTTAAATAATTTGTTCTAGTTCCTAGATTATAAAAGTCATACTTGCTTGACTTGGGAACCAGGAAGATGTAGCAAATGGTAAATGAGAAATAAAAAGAACCCACAATCCCCTCACCTAGCAATAAGTACTATTAACACTTGCGTTTTTCCTTCTGGGTGTTTCCTCTTCATGATAGATCTTTTCATACCTCAGTATAAATGTAGGGGAACAGTATTTTATAGTAAATCAAAATTATACCATATATATCTTTTATATATGTGTATGTATATATATGTGTATGTGTGTGTGTATATATATACATATATATATATATATATGATTGTATCCTGCTTTTTTGGTTTAATTTTTAACTATGAGCATTTCCATATGTCACAAAATTAGATTATAAATAACTTTATAGTATTTCATAATGTTTCATTCTTTGGACACATCACCATTTATTTAATAATAGCTCTGTATTTGAAATTTTGTTGCTTCATTCTATAAATTTTTAAATGGTTCTTAGAGTATTTAGAAATTCCCTATTTTTACAGTGAATCTAAGAGCTTTGTTCCTCAAAGGGGTAGAATTTTAGTAAAAATTCAGTGTTATGGAGCACCTGCTGAGAATTAGCAATGCTCGTGCTCTAATCAGAGGATGAGAGCAAGGAGGCACCATGGATTCCCCAGACCTGAGACATTCTTACTAATAAAGTTTTTCTCTTTGGAGACTTTGGTGGGATGGGTGCTGGCAGCTGGGATATAAGCCTATCAAGGCAAGACGTGAATATGGTCAGATGTCCATTTCACCTTTTCTAGTCCACTCTGAGCTCCTGAAATGGCTCTTACCTCCTGCTTATGTGATTCCTCCCAACTCCCCAATACCGTATCTCAGCAGCTGGGCAGGACCCTCCTGGTTCCTCTTCCTTCCTTGGTCTTGGATCTTTCAGGATGAGTCAAAATTCTTGTGGGCAGAGCAGGCTGGTCTCATTCCTGAGACTAGGAGGAAAGCATTGAGATACATCCCGGAGTTCTCACTGGAACCATATGGTTCTTCTTCCTGGCTACTTCCTGCTTTCTACCATGGGATTTCTTGGCTGCCTCCAGGTTCCTACATGAAATACAGCTGAACTGTGCTGTTAATAAGATGAGCGTGGACAACCTGGCTACTGTGATTGGTGTGAATCTCATCAGGTCGAAGGTTGAAGACCCTGCTGTGATCATGAGAGGTATGGCTGGTCCCGTAACGAAAGCAGGTGCACAGGAAGTAACAAATACAGCACTCGCCCTGATATTTGTGCACTGCTCTGAAGTTTGTCAAGCATTTTCAGCTGGTTATCTTTCTCATCTGAATTATGCAGTAGCTTTGTGAGGTAGGCAGGGCAGGAATTGTGTCCATTTTCCAGATCACAACAAAAGACAGGTCAAGCGTTTGCCCAATGGTCCTAGAGTACAGTAGGCTAGCACAAAAATAGCTAGCTAGTATTTCTTAGTCTTTCATTACTTTTAAACACCCTTAGCCAGATCAAGCAAGCAGGTTTCATTGTATTTATTTATTTACTGAGATGGAGCCTCATTCTCTTGCTGAGGCTGAAGTGCAGTGGTGCGACCTTAGCTCACTGCAACCTCCATCTCCTGGGTTCAAGTGATTCTCCTGCCTCAGCCTCCTGAGTAGTTGGGACTACAGGCACACACCCCCACACGTGGATAATCTTTGTAATTTTAATAGAGGCAGGGTTTCACCATGTTGGCCAGGCTAGTCTCGAACTCCTGACCTGAAGTGATCTTCCTGCCTCAGCCTCCCAAAGTGCTGGGATTACAGACATGAGCCACCATGCCCCGCCAGGTTTTATTTTATAAGCCAGCTCACAAAAAGGCTGCTTATGAAACTGTGCTGGGCAGGCTTCTGAGGTTGTGTCTTGGTTCAATGAACAAAAGTCCTGGCATAGAGTACTGATATCTGCCATGGATGTGGGCCAGGGGCAGTAAGCCTGGCACATATTTGCTGTGTGTCTCATAAGAAACCAGATGTCATATTGAGGACCACATCATGAGAGAAAGCTGTTTTCATTTTTCTTCTGTTTTATTGCCTACTTTCCTGATCAAAAACTAATCCAGTGGACTATTGGCTCCCTCTAAAACAGCTCCCTCTTTCATTCTACTCCCATATCCTTTTATTCCATCCCTTTCAACATAATTTCCAACTCCAAGCAATTAAAAAGGGTCTTTTGAGAAGGAAAATGAAGCCCTTCTGGGCCATGTAGTTGTAGAACTGAGTCTGGGGACATCCACAAGTGAAGATCCTTGAGGACTGACTACCTGCCTCCTATACTACTCTACATATCTTTTTCTTCTTTCTTTCAGGGACTCCTCAGATCCAAAGAGTGATGACTATGATGATCAGAGATCATGCAGTCCTTTTCCCCAAGTCCAAGGATGTACCGCTGTCACCCCCTGCCCAGAAAAACGACCCCAAGAAAGCTCCAGTGGCCCGAAGCTCTGTGGGCTGGGATGCCACTGAAGACCCCCGAATTTCTAGGACAGACAGCTTCAGTAGCATGGTAAGGTGCAGAGAACCGTCTGCTTTCATTGGGTTCTTCCTTTAGTCCAGGCAACTCCATGTAAGGCCTGCTCTGGGGTCGCAATTTGGGGAGTTTTAGATGATGCAGTGGCAGTGGGCACAACTGATACAGACTCATCTGAACATACCTTGAAAGCCTGGCCTCTTTCCAAATCTAGTTTCTTTTTTCTTTTTTTCTTTCTTTGTTGAGATGGAGTATCACTCTGTCACCCAGGCTGGAGTATAATGGCACAATCTTGGCTCACTGCAACCTCTACCTCCCAGGTTCAAGTGACTCTCCTGCCTCAGCCTCCTGAGTAGTTGGGACTACAGGCACACACCACCACATCCAGCTAATTTTTTGTATTTATAGTAGAAACAGGGTTTCACCACGTTAGCCAGGATGGTCTCGATCTCCTGACCTTGTGATCTGCCTGTCTCAGCCTCCCAAAGTGCTGGAATTATAGGCATGAGCCATCATGCCTGTCCTCCAAATCTAGTTTCTATTGGCATTCTTGAGGGGGGTGAGTGACAAGTGTGCCAATTGCCCAGTGACTGAGCAATGAGAGTCCTCACTGAAGCCTACTCTAAAAGAGAGACTCAAATGAAACCCAGAGAAATTCAATGGAAAAAATGTATACCACATTGTAAATGTTTTTATGAGAATTGTTGAAAATCCTGGGTGAACGTCCAGAGAAAACTGGTTTCCTGCTAACCCATGAAACGTGATTCCTTTCTCAGAGTATGTGATGTGTTTGTGTAATATTTCTCATTCCTCGATAAGCTTTCTCAGCCGTGTCAGCCCCCACGTTTGTGCTGAAGGGTTGAAACTCACGTTCCCAGTGTCCACAAGCTCTGCTGACTCTGAAATGTAGACTATGTGAGGGCAATCATTTACAAAGGTCAAATATTTTTATATATTTATAGGAACAAATATTTTTACAAAGAACATGTGAACTTTATATAATAGCTTGATCTTTATGTGTGGCCAAAAAAATGGAGTTAAGATTTCTAGTTGATCAGATGATTCAAGTTACCTACAGTACTGTTAACTCTGAAGATTTTTTAAAAAGGCAGGTAATGAGTAGTGGTTGTGATTTTTCTTAGGGTAGGTATTTCTGGATGCAATGCATTTTACTAACACTCTAAAACTAAAATAAAATTTTAAAATGCTCATGCTTCATGTAACAAGATCATCCTACAGTCCTTGAGAATAGCCATTATTGTACTCATTTAACAGATTTCTGCCGTTTATTGATTTCTGTGGGCAGGAACTATGCTCGAAAATTTATACTGTTCACTTCTAGAGTCATCATATTACATAACACTGTAGGGCAGAATTTATCATTCGTATTGTGTTATTGAGGAGCAGAAACTCAGAGAGGCTGAGCAGCTGGCCCAACATAGAAGCACTAACTTGTTATAGAGGAGGGCTCAGATTCAGTTCTTCCTTCAGGACCCAGGTGCTTCTAACTCCAGGTGGGGTTTCTGAAGCAAATGATTGGCTACCAAGGTCAAAGGCGGGGCTCGAACCCAATTGTCTGATTTTATGTTTAGGTCTCACTTGATCTTAGCCAAGAGGAGCTAAGAAGCAATTGATTTTATGTTTAAGTATCATATTCTCTCTCCTTTTTCTTAATGATTTCATTTAAAAATATATAATATATGCACATGGTTCAAATAATCAAAAAGATAGAAAAAAGTATACATTGAGAAGTTCTACTCCCTCCCATATTCTCACCCACCCCAACCCTCATTGCCTTCATTTAGCCTTCATAGTTTCTTATCCATCATTGTTCATTTTTGAAAATACAAGAAAACATGAGTGTAATTTACCTCCTTTTTTACACAAAATGTAGTATAATTCTCTCTCTCTCTCTACAGTCACATACATACACACACATACACTCTCACATATAACTTTGTATCTTTGTACTTAGCAGTGTATCCTGGAGACTTTTTCATGTCAATACCCAGATAACTACCTCATATGACCTCATCTTTTCAGGAGGTATACAGTGTTCCATTCTGTAGTTGTACCAGTCCCTATAGATAAACAGACTGCCTTCAGTTCTTTTTTTTTTTGAGACAAGGTCTCACTTTATCGCCTAAGCTGGAGTGCAGTGGTGTGATCACAGCTCACTGCAGCCTAGACCTCCTGCTGAAGCGATTCTATGGCCTCAGCCTCCCAAGTATCTGGGACTATGGGTGCATACTACCATGCTGAGCTAAATTTTTGGCGTATTTTTTGTAGAGACAGGGTTTCACCATGTTGCCCAGGCTGGCCTCGAACTCCAGAGCTCAAGCAATCTACCCTCCTCGGCCTCCCAAAGTGCTGGGATTGTAGGCATCAGCCACTGTACCCAGCCTTTCAGTTCTTTAGACTACAAATCAAGCTGTAATAAATAACCTTGACCAGACCTCCTTTTGTACTCAGGTAGATGTATTTCTCACATAAATTTTCAGAAGTGGGCTTGATGGGTCAGAGAGTAAATCGATTTGATTGTGTGATTTTAAAATAAATTATCGGAGTTTGTATCATTTTATACTTCCAGAAGCAATGCATGAAAGAACTGTTTTCCTACACTTTGACCAGCAGAAGAGCATGTTGTCAAATTTTGGGAGTTTGCTCATGTGATAAGTGAGAACTGGCCTTTCAGGAGTTTTAATTTTAATTTGAGTTTCTCGTATTATGAGAGAAGCTGAACATCTTTTCTTAGGTACAAGGGCCAGTTTCATTTTTTCCACCATGAGCTGCCTGATCTTGTCCTTTGACCATAATTATATTGGTTTTTAATCTTTTTCTTCTCAATATTTATGAACTTTATCTATTAAGGAGAGTAACCAGTTGTCTGATATGCATTGCAAATATTTTTTGCCAGTTATTTGCTTTTTTAGTTTGGTATGCGGTGATTTATTTCTTTGTTTTATTTTTGTTCTTTTTAATTTTTTAGGTCATGGAAATCAAAAGGTCAAATTTATCAAACTTTTATGGCTTCTGGGTTTTCAGTCATATTTACAAAGACCACCCATTCTAAGATTACCCAAGGATCCCACTTTAGGATTCTTTAACCACAAACACTTGATTTTGGTGAGCACTTCATCTCTAGAACATGGTTTCTTTAGTTCAGTATTGTTTTGGAAAAAATGCCAATGCAGATAACCAATTAATGTGATATATTAAGAGTTTCATCGGTATGCTACCAGGAAACATTTGTTTTGGGGTCTCTAATCCTTCTTAGGAGCATGACACACAGAGGTGAAAACCCCATGTGACATCCATGGCCATTTCTTTTCTAGACAAGCGACTCTGACACAACCAGTCCCACCGGACAGCAGCCGAGCGATGGGTTTCTGGAGGACAGCAGCAAAGCACCCAGGGAGAAGCCAGGAGATTGGAAGATGCAGTCTCGAAAAAGGACTCAGACACTCCCTAACCGGAAATGTTTCTTGACATCAGCTTTTCAAGGTGCCAACAGCAGCAAAATGGAGATCTTTAAAAATGAGTTCTGGTCACCTTCAGAGGCAAAGGCAGGGGAAGGGCACAGGAGAACGATGTCTCAAGACTTGCGCCAACTTTCTGACTCCCAGCGGACTTCTACCTATGATAACGTCCCTTCCCTGCCAGGGTCCCCTGGGGAGGAAGCCAATGCACTCTCTTCCCAAGCCTGTGACTCCAAGGGAGATACTCTTGCCAGTCCAAACTCTGAAACTGGGCCTGGAAAAAAGAACTCTGGAGAAGAGGAACTTGATTCTTTGCAGAGGACAGTCCGGGACTTACAAAAGGAAATAGAAACACAGAAGCAAATGTATGAGGAACAGATTAAAAAGTAAGTCACAGACAGAGGGGCACTGGGTGGCACTTGACTTCCATCTTTAGAGACAAGAGGGATTGTTCTCATCCACCAGAGAAGTCACATCACAGAACTGCCATTTTGGAAAGACAGTAGTCTATAACAGGCCTAGGAAAGAAAGAGTAAAGGGAACAATGAGACGACTAAATAGGTGAACACTCTAAACTTTAGGCTAGATTTGGGAAATGTAAATATCTAGCTTAAGTAGCCTAATCAACAGTTTCCAAACAGTGAGTGGTTCTTTAAGAATCAACGTGCTTTAACTAATTTAAAGAAACTTAAAAAAAAATTTTTTTATGTTAAGGTCATTAATTGATTCTGCAAACATTCCTCAAGCCCCTCATCTGTGCAAGACACATTCCTGTTGCTAGGGAATAGCACTGAACGAAAGAGACAAAAGTCCCTGTACTTTCAGAACTTTTTTCTAGTGGGAACAGATGGACAATATAAATATATAATGAAATATATGTTATGTCAGCTGATGGCAAGTGCTATGGAGAAAAATTAAGTGGGTCAGAAGGTTGGAAATTTCACGGAATGGGTTCCAGTGTAAAATGAGTTCTGGTCAGGGAAGGGGATCAGGGAAGGCCTCCCTGAGAAAGGCAGCAGGTAAGTAAAGGCCTGAAGGAGATGAGGAGTGACTCAGGTGCATAGATGGGAGATGATCATGGCTGGTGCTGAGGCCGTGAGAAAGGAGCAGGCCCCCATGGTTCCACCCACGAACAGTGGAAGCTGCCTGGGGCTAGGGAGAATGATTAGAAGAAGATGAGGGTGGAGAAGTACAGGAGGCCAGGACGCAGCAGGGGTTTGTCAACCACTGGAAAGCCTGAGTAAGACAGAAGTTTCTGGGTGGTTTCAACCTGGTTTATTCTTCACCGGGTCTCTGGCTTCCCACTGAGCACCAGCTGCAGGGGGGCAAACAGAAATGGGAGGCCAGTTAGGCAGCTGTTGCCACTGTCACATGCAAATTCCCAAGATCCATGCACACAATTTGTTCTCCTGGGTAGGTAAAGTATTTTCTTGAAATCTTTTTCACACTACTGATTGGCCGGCAAATTTGTTTTCAGGAAAGAAAACCTTGATCTAGCTGTGCCCATATCAGCACTAGTCATGAGGCAGTGAAATGTGAATTAGTGGGCTCTTAGATTTATGGATATGTCTTAGTCCAGCAGATTCAGGTATCTGAAGGGAAGGCTGCTGTGAACCCTCATTTACTGTTCCACATAGAAAGCTGCCATCTAGAAGCAAAATGTAGTTTGTCTAAGAACCTGAAACCAATCTTTTGTAGAATTAAAGATTTCTGTGACATCGTGGCAGGGATCAAAGCAGTCCCAGAGAAGTCTCACACTTCTCTGATACCCTGTTGAAGATACTCAGACATGATGGCAAGTGCTGTGGAGAAAAATAAAGTGGGTATCTTCAACGGGTTAGGAAAAGAACTGGCTGTCACAGAGGCAGCCAGTTTCCTGCCCCGTTGAAGACATGCATATCTTCAACAAGGTAGGAAAAGAACTGGCTGCCACAGAGGTGGCTGCTCCTCCTGAATGGAACAGAGTCTTCTGAATCCAACTGTCGGGGAAGCCTCCCATCCCAGACTTCTGAGCCTACACAGACAGGGCCTAGCACAATGCCTTACATGGAATTTCTTCCAGAGCCAGAAGGGTACAGAAAACTTGGAGGAAAAAAGGTTTGTAATGAGAGGGCCAAAGGAATGAGACCAATTTAGCTTTAAGAAGAGGGCTGGCTGTGGTGGCTCAGGCCTGTAATCCCAGCACTTTGGGAGGCCGAGGGGGGTGGATCACGAGGTCAAGAGATCGAGACCATCCTGGCCAACGTGGTGAAACCACGTCTCTACTGAAAATACAAAAATTAGCTGGGCGTGGTGGCATGCGCCTGTAGTCCCAGCTACTTGGGAGGCTGAGGCAGGAGAATTGCTTGAATCCAGGAGGTGGAGGTTGCAGTGAGCTGAGATTGTGCCACTGCACTCCAGCCTAGTGCCTGGTGACAGAGTGAGACTCTGTCTCAAAAAAAAAATAGAAGAGATAGGCGGGGGTAGGCAAAGTTCTGAAGATGGATTTTTACCCACAGAATAGGCCAAGGCCTTTGAAGATAGAACCCAAGCTATGGGCTCACATGGGGGCTCAAGTCTCCCTTGTACAAATGGGTAGGCCGCTGGGGGAAAAGGGAGGCACACTCTACAGAATGAAATTCTGAAACAAATTTTCAATCACACAATCGGCATATGTACACTCATTCCTAAGGGTCAATTCAGCACAGTCTGGTAGTGGGGGCACCTGGCACTATATTAGGATTTTGGCCAATACCAATGAAAATCCTGGCAATGCAGGAATCCCACAGATTTTTCACCTGGCATGGAATTCAGAAATGAGGGTGAGACTGCCAGGACCACTGCTCCCCCAAGGGCAGGTCCCTCTGTTTCTCCAAATCTTGGTCCTCAGGAAATCCTTAATAAGAGAGGGTGCCAGTCTATGCTCTCCATTGACACAGGATGAGGAGGCACTCATGAGCACAGCGGTGTGAGAAATCTGGAATATGGATGGGGCTTCCAGGACTGAACAAGGTGCTGTGGCAGTGAATATATAGATCTATTAGAGCTGGTCTCTTCTTTCAAAGACTTTGTTACCTGGTAGAAGATACAAAACAAAATGACATTTAAAAAAGCAGAATAGATGTCACAAGATAATGTTAAATGACAAAGTAGGGGCTCAGAAGTGCTGTGGGAATTCAGGTTTCCTGGGACGTCTTCATGTGGGAAGAGGGACATATCAGAGGTTGGATAAGGATCTTATGATTTGAAAAGGAAGATGAGCAGAAGGTTGTGAGCAAGGGTGAAGGAAGAGCCTAGAATGAATGCCATATTCTGTCATTCTTTTCTTCCCTTCCCTGTAGCCTTGAGAAGGAGAATTATGAAGTTTGGGCTAAGGTGGTGAGGCTCAATGAAGAACTGGAGAAGGAAAAGAAGAAGTTTGCAGCCTTAGAGATCAGCCTCCGCAACGTGGAGCGCTCCCGGGAAGATGTGGAGAAGAGGAACAAGGCCTTGGAAGAAGAAGTCAAGGAATTTGTCAAATCCGTGGAGGAACCCAAGACCGAGGAGGCTTAAGGGTCGCAAGAGTACTGCAAGAACAGCCTGAGGGAGACCCAACTCTGACTCCTGTCTCAGTGCTACCTGATGACGGGAAACAAAATTACTCTCTAAGAGGGAAAGGACATTTTGAAGGAGACATCAACTTTCCCCATAAATAAAAGAATGGAGTTTGCAGGAAGGGGAGGGTGAGCAGAGATGTGTGTGGACATCTCTGACCATCCATTGCTGTGTTCAAATGGATCATGTTATTTCACTCTGGTCTCAGGCATGACCATGTCCAGCGAAGACATTTGAAGCAGGTCACATCTCAGGACCCAGGCAACAGACTGGCTGCAGCACAGGCTGAGCTGAGGTGTGATTAATTCTTTGTTTTTTGTATGGAACAGCTCCCTTGCCAGACAGCCTCAGGGCATCTCTGAGACACAGGGGCAGAAAATGACATTCAGCTTTTGACTCCTCATCTATGTAGTGCTGTGTTGTTGGGGGCTGCATCTGCTAAAGCCAGAACCCCATTCGGCTATCCCACCATGATGCCCATTCTCCAGGGATTCTCCAACTTATTATTATTATTAGACTAAACCAGGACAAGCAACAAACTGTATTTATAAAAGCAAAATTGATGAGAAAATTATGTCAGAAAAAAAAAAAAAAAAAAAAGCAAAGCTATTGCTAATCCACACAGCACTTTTGTGAGAATTAGCAAAAGACACCCCTTCCTTGGGGCAGATGGGTTGGTCAGCAGGGCATGGGCTGGATTTCAGTCCTGACTTGTCTTTCAGGGACAGGTGTTTCTGTACTTCCTGAGCCCCCTTTTTTTTCTGTATTTCACAAAATTATTGTGGGAATTATATGAGAAGATGTAATCTAGTCCCTACTTGCCTTTTAATTGTCTATGGATGGCCTGGGAACAAAGGCTTCCTACTATGGTATGACCTCTTTATAGGTTTGTTGTGGGTTTAAATAGTAATTGTCATGACAGTAGTTTCTTTTTTCCTACTTCACCAAAATGCAAGTGATTTTACCCTTTAAAGGGGCAGCAGGCACTAGACCATAGGTGGGAGAGGGGCTTTCCCAATGGACAGCTGATTCTTCCCCTTCTATATCAAGCCAGCCTGGCAGAGGCCCTGGTCAGACCCCAAACCTCTAGGTAGGTTGGCTGAGTCTTTTTTTTTGTTGTTACCATTCTAATTAGATGGTCTCCAAGCTCTTTTGACTGGGTACCTCATCAACAGAAAATGTTTGAGCATACATCCCCCAATATATTTATTTATTTATTTATAAATTACATACATGTACTGCTATAGTACTCCACATTTATATTATAAAACACAGAACAGTAACTGAATAATGATGAGATAAAAACAAAGATTGATAGATGTTCCCAAGTTTGAATAATGATGAGATGAAAACAAAGATTGATAGATGTTCCCAAGTGCGCTGTCAGCTCTGGAAACACCGACCCAGTTCCCCAGCAAGTATTACCTGTACCAAATTCATATCATTCATCCTATTGCTCCCACAAATGTGCTTGAACTCTTGAAGCCCTGTGGCTTCAGTAGTGGTTTGGAATCTATGGTTACCATAGTGAGAGTTTAGCCTTCCCCAGCACATGGGCCTCCTCTGTCATTCCTTTTTCTCTCTCTCTTCTTCACTCTAGTTAGTCTTTCCTTCCTGTGGGCATGACTTATTACCAACAGAGTGAAAGTGGACAGGAGCGTCAGTGTTTCTTGGTCCTGCTACTCAGGCCCTGCTCCACCAACACCACAGCCCCTTTGAGGACCAGATTGATGGAGAGGGAGGGTGACTCTTAACAGCATTCCCGTCTAGGCCTGCTTGCAGAAGATTGAGGGGAAATTAATCTGAATATTCATAAGAAAAGCAATAAAATACTTGGTTTCCTAAGTTTTCAGTGTTTTTAAATTACAGAATAGCAAACATGGAAACACTTACTGACCACCTGATTTATGTTGGTGAGTGCCTGCATTTCTGCGAGGCACACATCCTTGTGTTCTCCCACGGATTCCTCACACTGACTCTTTGGGGGCTTAAACAGAGTTGAACAAGGAAGTGGCTGCTGTCACAATTTCCAAAGGAAACATTTGTCTGAAGGTACAAAGAGGAGGTTCTCAAGTCTGTTTTGAGGTCCCTGTCATTGGGCCTTGCTGGGTCCAGGAGCCAGAGCTCAGGCTGAGTGGGAACCTTTGGATCCCAACTACCTTCTGGTTTGCCAGTGTCTCTCATTCTATTTTTTTCCACCAGTATTGTGAGAAAACAGAGCAGCTGTTGGCCTTGGAAGCACTGCAAGTGTCAGTCCCTCTTCACAATCAAGAGAAGAGTCTGGCTCGCTTAAGTTGCCACTAGTTGCTCCTGTGCCACCTTGCATACAAGGAGAACACAAGAAACAGGGTTTTCCTAGGACCCTGGGACCTTATGGGTCCAAGAGTCACATGAATCCCTTCATCCTGCTGGGAAAGGCAGGAAGGAGGGAGCCCCTGAGGGCCAGAAAAGAAGATCTGGGATCTGATGGCACTGTTTTAATGCCCTCAGAAGGCATGCATGTGATCGCATGACAGGGTAGCTCCAGGCCTTATCTGGACCAAAGGACCAGGTTCTAGAAGGCAAAACCTGGAGACTGACCTGTGTCGGGTATGCTATTGGACTCTGCAGCTCCTACCTATATTTCCATGGACAGAGCTCTATCAAATCTGCCTTTTTCCCAGCCACACCCTTACCTCTAAGTTACCCACTCTCCTCTCTGCTCATGGGATAAGAACCTAGAAAGGTCTTCAAAGTGCATTTGAAAACCCCTTGCCCTCTTCCCTCCCAAACTCCTTTTCTGTCAGAGCCTCAAGCCTGCCCCTTATCAGGGTACTCTTAAGTTTGGGGTAGATATGATGGTTTTCCAGTAAGACTATACACTGGATAGGACAATTCATACTAGAGGATTGGCTGGGATGATTCCCTTCCAGGGGGTTCTGGTCAGGGTCTGTAGTCTGGAGAGACTATGTGCAGCACTCCTAGTGCAGAGACAGCTGCATAGGATGTAAACTAAAAACATGATGTTGTTTTGACCAACTTCCTAAAACTGTTCAAAGGCCTGTCCCCTCAGAAAAGAATGAAGCAGAAGACTCCCAGGCTGCTCAAGGCTGCTGAGAGGGCGAGGCCAGAGAACACAGTGGCACAGCAACTGCTGGCTGGATTCCACGGGCTCTGGACCAGAAGATGCATGTACACGAGCGAACGCCCTGTAAACTTCCACATTCCACCACTTCCTTTGCAGATAGCAGCAGTGGTCAGGTCACGTGCTAGCCGGAGAGCAGAGAAAACACTTGGAGGCTGTTCCTGCAATTAAATGTTCCTGCATTTACAAGAATCACACAAAACCCTTCATCCTGCCAGAGAAGGCTTGGAGGGAGGTCCTGAGGGTGGAGTTCTAGCTACTGCTCAGAAACTCAGGCTGGCATCTGGCCAGCAGCAGAGAGGCTGGAGCCAGGGGGCTTGTGGCTCAGATGATGTCCCAGGGCAACTGGGAATAAGCAAAGAATATCAACACAGCTGTGTAACTGTAACTTCTATTTTTTCTGTTGCTGGAAACGCTCTAGAATCATAGGGTAACATAACTGGAAAACAATCCGATTATATTTAATTCAACCTATTTACTTCATGGACAGGGGAACCAAGGCCCAGTCACACAAACTAAATGGCCAGTGCTCATGCAGAAATTAGAAAGAGGATTGAAGGAGGTGATTTTTGAGGGCTCCTCTAGCCCCTGATTCAGTGATTCTTGTGATTCTTGCGATTCTTGCCTTCTCTCCAAGGGTTGTTTCCCCTAAACTGCAACCATGGTGTGAACTCTGCTGAACATCTGTTGCTGAGTGCTTCCAAAATACAGAGCACTTCCTCAGCTCATGATTATAACCAAGACCCACTTAATATGATGCCAGCTTTTCACCTACTGTGTATTCCCAATACTATTGTAAAACACGGGTTCTCAGTCTTGGTGGCACAAGAGAATTACCTTAGGGACTTTAAAAAAAAATTCTGATGTTCAGATCTTACTTCATATCAATTGAATCAGAATCTTTGGGATGGGGCCTAAAAACTGGCATTTAAAATAAAAATTTCCAGTTGATTCTAATATGCAACCAGGATGGTTAAACAGTTTTAAAACTGCTAAGTTTGGCATTAGTCATCACTAATGATAATATTATTATCGTCTTTATATTATTTATCTACCTGCTCCCCTTTCCCATCTCCAGTTAACACTGCTACGTTCTCTGATTTACAGGCTGGTTTTCATGTGTTTATTCATCTAGGATAAGACATGATTAAGAGATACAGAATGGATTTATGTTATATACCCATTTTATGGATGGCGAAAGTGAGCCCAAAGATGTTTTTTAAAAATCAGCATAACGGTAGCTTAGTATGAACAAATCCAAGGGTTTTGAAAATTCCTTATTATATGGGAGCACTGTTTACTTGCTTTAAGGGTTGACTCTAGACACAGGCAAAGAAGATAAGCACTTGAGGGCCTGATTTTAAAAGTACTGAGAATAGCTCTGATGAAAGTCATCTCCCTTTCAGACTCACATTAGATTGAGAGGTGCCTACCAGTACCCTTTGGAATATTAACCACAAATGTGATATTTCTGGAAGATTCCATGAAGCCTCCACTAATCATTAGTATCGTCTTTATATTAGCTATCTGATTCTTAGAAGAGAACTGTGTAATGAAGGAATGAGAGCCTGGCCAGATAAGTTGTGCTGTGGGTGGAGGAACAGATCAAGAATATGGATGTCACCTAGAAGTATTGTACTGTGGAGCCCTAGCCGCCTGAGATGGGGTGAAGGTGCAAAAATCAGGCCTGAAGAAGGGAAAGGGGGACTCATCAGCAGGGTGGATGGAGAAATGGTTTACCCCTACGCACACCTGATACCTGCTCAAAGTTGGCATTCTGCCTCATTCCTTCTCTCTGTTCTCCGCTTTATTGATGTCCTGTCAGTCCGGCTGAGGCCAGCCCCTGCTAAACATCACCCTGGGTCATGAGTCCTTGGTCAGCATCAGTAGCAACATCATGACAATAATTACCAATAATAAGCAACAAATACCATTTATTAATACTTTCTGGCAAGCACTGTACCCATGTCATTTCCTTTAAATCTCAAATCAACTCTGCTGATTGTAATCAAACCTCTTTTACTCATGTGGCATAGCTAGGAACTGAAGTGTATGTACAGTCTGCACAAGGCTACATTATCTTTGTCTTCACCTAGAGAAGGAGTGCAGCATAGAAAAGGGCCACTTGGCAGAGATGGACTAAAGCAACATTTGCAAAGACTTTTTCTTTAAAAAAGAGAAGAATGGCAGGGGTTCTGGAAAGAACCACTAACTGTGCCTTGTCTGATTCAGCATCAAGATGGAAAAATATCTAGAGGCTGTTGCCTTCCTCACGGCCCAAGTCAAATCCACCTGCTTGCTCTGAGGATGGCTGGGAGGCCACACATCACCACGTCCTTTCCTGGAGTCAATTCGGGGTTCCATGTCATTGGCTCTGCCTTTGAAAGAACTCTGGGAATGGGGTTGTCTTGGAGTCCCTGGTTCCATGTGGCTAAGGAGTGAGCCTCTCATATCTCCATGCTGAATTTCTTCACTCATTCTCAACCCTCCTTTCCATTTCAAGAAAC